GTGTTTGGCCTGATGACGAGTTGCTGAAAACATATGTTTGCCATAAACTGACTTTTAATATTCAGAAACAAAGGTCAAACTGACAGTTTGGAACATTAGAACATCAGTGGTATCTTACTTGACGATGCTAGAGGTGACCTTAGTAATGGTATTTTGTGAGATGATGACGTTTTGGACTCGCCGTCATTGCACAGGGCCGCATTTGTTGAAAGAGGTCTATCTGTACTTTGACCATTAGCTGAGCTGGGAGCTTGCGTCCATTACCCGTGCAACTGAAGTATAGCGTCCTTCCGTTGAAGTCGAAGAGAGGTACGCCATTGTGTTTGGCAGCACATCATGTCGATCGATTTGGAAGGACGGCCTGCCATATTCTTAAGGAAGATCTTTGAGGTATCCATGTGCCAATGCCGTCGTCCACCCCGCCTGGGACCATTCGTAGTGGCATCGTCGTATAATATCCATCTGAACAAGTGCTTAATATCCATCATCAAGATATGTCTGCTTAATCACAGTTGTATATGTCTTAGAATGGCGCGAATACCGAGGATGCCGGCTCTTACCATGATCTCGGTATCGGGAATTCCTTCCCGTCATTTCAATCGTCGCATTTCACGGAGGCAGTTCAGATGAAATAATAGTTGAACATTTTTGCTTGGCAACCATTGACGCTACATGCCTCCGCCCACAAAGGAACGGTTTCAGGACAAAGGTCTGCACATCCTCAACTCGTATTGCACAGAAAATACCCTTATCATATAGATTATGAATTATGTCGATCTTATTTTTTTCTCTGTGCATCGATTATGTTTCCTCCGACAATCGGTAGGATCCTAATTTGGGTTCCCGATCAGCACGCGAAAGCCCCATCCTTCTGTTATACAAGACTGGGTGTACTAAAGAGTATACAGGTTGGGCAATACAAAGAAAAGGAAATATAAATAAAAAAGTAAAGTTGATAAAAGTAGAAAAAACAGGAATAATCATCTAAATAATCTAATGTTTACCGTAATAGTAGCGAAAATTCGATTCCCTAGTGGTAAGTCAGAAGAAGAAAGGACGTTCACCGGGAGAGGTTTATTTTTATCTTACGTTTTGGATAGTTATCTTGTCTATCCACCTTCAGAGGGCGAATACTCTGCCTCCTGGCTCTCGCTATACGCAATCGGCAACTTCAAATAAAAAATAAATCTTTCCCGGCGAAAATCCTTTATCCTTCTGTATCTAATGCTTGTCAACAAAAAATCGCTCCATAATTAAAATGTGCAATTACGCAAGTATCGGGAAGTAAAAAGTAAAACTAAAAGTAAAATCGCCTAACTAAAAGCATAAACAAAATTAAGCTAAACTCACTTAATTAAAAAATGATCTAAAACTAAAATAAAAAATAGTAAACATAATCATGAACTGAAAAGTAGACGGAAAACTGAACTTAAATATAAATAAGTTAAATAAACTAAATAAAAAATGAACGTTAAGTTTTTACGCATGTAAATTGAAGGTGTGCACGGTGCTTTGTACAGCAAACTATACTAATCAAACTCCAGAACGGCGAGTTGGAGTAAGTGAGTTGATGTAGATGACGTCCTAACTACCAAACTTTGTTTCCAGAAATACCAAAAACCCAGTAAACTATAAATATAAAAAATGCCTAGGGTTGTCACACACAATAAACTATAAGTAATTAAGAAATTTAAGTAAATTTCTATGTTTATTTAAGGCGCGCTATTTTCCTGCGAAAACATTAGACTAAACAATTTCTGATACCCAAAGAGGGATTCCACCCGGCAGTCGTATCGGCGAAGTGCAAATCTAAACTAATTACTCGAAATAGCATCCGTGGCAGCTGCATGAAAATTGTAACCTTGGTTACTTTCTGTTATCCTGACACCCTGCGAGCCGGTAGCTGTAGCTCATGGAGCACATTGCACTGCGCTTATAACTGAGTTATCGGGCTCCGTTTTGCGCTTGCCAAACCATCCCCCCGAACTTCAGCCACTGGTAGACCGTACCCTCTTCTGCTCCCAACTAACAAGTTTGCAAGTCTGGGTTTGGTTGGAGGGCCTTGACACCAGCATAACTGTGCGACTCCTGTCTCATCAGCTTTCATCGCGGGATTTCAGAAGTTAATTACAGGTCGACACTTGGATGCCATTTCGGTCCACAAGGTTTTTTGACCAAACCAGCCTGTTTACTGGTAGGCATAGTTATTATATACAGCCAAAATGCCAAAATTTACATAATTCCATTGAGCAGAATATGTCTCCACACGAGTGATTGGTAGTTAGTCGTTAATCAGGAGGTCAATATTGGGTAATACTTCAATGTACGCAAAATGGGCATTTCTTCATAGTCTCTAACATATAAACCTAAACTAATTCTGGCTCACGTTACCCGGGCAGGCATGAACCCCCAAGGTCGTGGTCTTTCCGGGTTAAAAGGCAAACAGGACTGAGTTCCCAGATCTTTGTAGGTTTAGGCGTCATTCTAGACGGACCTCCGGAAGGGCATACATAAACAGCAAATTGCAAACCCATACACATATAACTGACAGGCAGCAATGCAATGTAAAACCGAAAGATTCCCTTTCTTTAAGTACAAAATTTAAAGATGGCGTACGTTGCTACCAAACAAGTACCAGAAATATTTTTTTCGTTTATTTTCTCCATAAAATATATTTGAATTTATAAAGGCAGTTAAAATCAATGATAAAAATGCGTACTACTTAAGTAGCCACTTTTTACAGTATATATGTTTTGTTAGCGGTCACAAAGAAGCTCGTTAAAAAGCCAGCATCCTATACTGATTGAAATGACTGTAGAATAGATTACATAATACCTAATATTTCAACCTTACTCAATGCCGATTAGCAAAAGAGTTTCGATCTTTCGCATATTTCGGCATGTTACACGAATTCTAAGCCGGACGGTACTTGCGTCTGGTTGTTACGAAACCATAACTTCGGTCCACTTTGTTGTCAGTATATACTTCTTCAGTAGAATTAAATGCCTTTTCCTTCCTCAGATTTCTGTCCCTCTCTTAGTGTAGATTGACTTTTTGATTTTTCTTTTACTTTCTGTCCTTCTGATGTGATAAACCTGATGCGCAAATGTGCCACCTTGTATTGATTTCTAGAGGATGTAAGCGAGCTGTTGTTGCTGGCTCTCCAACACAACCGCCACAATTTTATTGACGAATTGGCGAAGCTCGACCTTGGGAAAAACTTGAGGATGAATTTGCAAGATTTGGCCTTCCTCTATAATCGTGGTGCGGGCACTCAGAACCTTCGCAGTATACTCAATGCTTGTGGACTCAGCTCAAAGTCTAAAAAAGACGACGGCGAGGACGACGATGATGGCGAGAACGACAACAAAGACAGCGAGAACGAGGACTCGGAAGAGGAGAAGAAGAAAATGCTGTCGATGCTGCTTGCTCTGGCAAAAACTAAAATCCGTCAACGTCCACTGAAGCGCACAATTTACCTAGACGAGGTTTATATTTTGCTGAAGCGGATTTTCGCTGAAATGGACATTAACTTGTACAGAGAGGATAAGAAGGTGAGTTTCGAGGCATTTTGTATGCATTGACGTGGAAATTTATGGAAGATACCTTTGCAAAGTTTATGCTCGCTGGCACACTTTACACCTTGGGGTCTATATAATCTGTTAAGTTAGAATACGTTGTGGTTTGGGGTTATCCTTTGTGGAAAAGGCAATCGACCTCATTAATTCGGGGCATCCTT